GAGGGCGTTTACATCATTCCTCTGCGCCGTTCCCCCTACTCTCCTCCAAGCCTCCACGGATTCCGAGTAAAAACCTGGCCTCGGGCAAGCCCCATTACCTCTGTGAACCAGAGGATTCTAGCTACAAAATGAGATCTTGATGGTTTCCTGCGGGGCTGCCATGTGAAGGAATCAGCAGCGTGTACGCAGGTAAAGCGAGCAACACAGTTCCAAGGAGTCAAACCTGGGAGAAACCGTCCCACGACCAGGGGCTCGGGTCTAGATGAGTATCAAGGGGCCTGGCTTCTAATCGCGCTGCCACAGCGCGGGGAACTAGGCACCCCCCATCACCCGCCGCTGCACAAACACCCTGCCTGCGGCCCACAGACACCCCCACCCGGCCTGCCGCCCCCCACACCCCCAAACCCTGCCTGCCGCCCCCCACACACCCCCCCACCCGGCCTGCCGCCCCACACACACACCCCCACCCTGACTGCCGCCCCACACACCCCCCCACCCGGCCTGCCGCCCCACACACCCCCAAACCCTGCCTGCCGCCCCCCACACACACCCCCACCCGGCCTGCCGCCCCCCCCACACACCCCCACCCTGCCTGCCGCCCCACACACCCCCTCACCCGGCCTGCCGCCCCCCACATACCCCCCCACCCGGCCTGCCGCCCCCCACACACCGCCACCCGGCCTGCCGCCCCACACACCCCCCAAACCCTGCCTGCCGCCCCCCACACACCCCCCCACCTGGTCTGCCGCCCCCCCCACACACCCCCACCCTGCCTGCCGCCCCCCACCCCCAAACCCTGCCTGCCGCCCCCCACACACCCCCACACCCGGCCTGCCGCCCCCCCCACACACCCCCACCCTGCCTGCCGCCCCACACACCCCCTCACCCGGCCTGCCGCCCCCCACATACCCCCCCACCCGGCCTGCCGCCCCCCACACACCGCCACCCGGCCTGCCGCCCCACACACCCCCCAAACCCTGCCTGCCGCCCCCCACACACCCCCCAAACCCTGCCTGCCGCCCCCCACACACCCCCAAACCCTGCCTGCCGCCCCACACACCCCCCCACCCGGCCTGCCGCCCCCAACACACACCCCCACCCGGCATGCCGCCCCCCAAACCCTGCCTGCCGCCCCCCACACACCCCCCAAACCCTGCCTGCCGCCCCACACACACCCCCCAAACCCTGCCTGCCGCCCCACACACACCCCCCAAACCCTGCCTGCCGCCCCACACACACCCCCCAAACCCTGCCTGCCGCCCCCCACACACCCCCCAAACCCTGCCTGCCGCCCCACACACACCCCCACCCGGCCTGCCGCCCCCCACACACCCCCCAAACCCTGCCTGCCGCCCCACACACACCCCCACCCGGCCTGCCGCCCCCCACACACCCCCCAAACCCTGCCTGCCGCCCCACACACACCCCCACCCGGCCTGCCGCCCCCCACACACCCCCCAAACCCTGCCTGCCGCCCCCCACACACCCCCACCCGGCCTGCCGCCCCCCACACACCCCCCAAACCCTGCCTGCCGCCCCACACACACCCCCACCCGGCCTGCCGCCCCCCACACACCCCAAACCCTGCCTGCCGCCCCACACACACCCCCCCCAAACCCTGCCTGCCGCCCCCCACACACCCCAAACCCTGCCTGCCGCCCCCCACACACCCCCCCCCAAACCCTGCCTGCCAACCCACACACCCCCCAACCCGGCCTGCCGCCCCACACCCCGTCAAACCCTGCCTGCCGCCCCCCACACACCCCCCAAACCCTGCCTGCCGCCCCCCACACACCCCCCCCACCCGGCCTGCCGCCCCACACACCCCCCCCACCCGGCCTGCCGCCCCACACACCCCCCCACCCGGCCTGCCGCCCCACAGACTCCAACCTGACGCCCACACACAGGCCCCGGCCTGATGCCCGGCTGACGCACCAGACCCCCCCCGCCTGCCGTCCCACAAATCCCCCGGCTGGCCGCCCCACATCCCCCACCTGACTCCCCACACACTTACCACCTGACGTCAAGTCTGAGGTGCAGTCACTAAACCGGAAGCTGGCGCCAAAAAGCGCCGGTTCCGCCAGCCGCTCGCCGCGCAGGCGCAGGGGAGACCCGAGGCCGTGACGTCACGGGGCCCACGCACGCAGGCGCAGCCAGGCTCGCAGCGGAGGTGGGAGGGTAGGAGGGCGGGCGGCCGCGCAGGGAGGAGGCGGGGCCTGGGGAGGGTCCGGCGCGCAGACCGCTCCTGCTGGCCTCAGCTGCTGACGCTCTTTGCGAGCAGTTGATCCACACGCCAGTGGATTTTGTCGTTGAGAGAGACCTAAGATCACTTTGTGCACTGGCTAGTGATGGCCTCTAATCCTTGTTCTCTGTACGTAAAACAGTGGTCACTATACTGATTTCGCTGGTTGTGAAAGCTCCCGAGAAAGAACAGGGCATCCCCCCCACTCAAAATGTTGGTTGTTTCATTTAAACTTGCAAAATGTAGGCTTTTGGAAACTACAGAGCTGTTTGTTTTTTTCATGATGTTTGCTACTGTGGTATGAGTTCTCTTAATACAGAAATAATGCATAAAAACACATAAGTTAAAATACAGAAATAAACATTTGTATGACCAGAAATCAACTATGGACTCTTCTCGTATCTATTTAAGGATTAAAAATAGAGTTATTTAGCAAACTTTAATTGAGAACCTATTATTATGTAGTAATGGCACGAGATACTGAGGGGGAGAGATTAAAAGCAACCCCAGTTTTTATGTTCCAGGAGCTCTTTTCCACCGAAATTTTTGCTGTAGTCCGTCCTCTTTCACCATGGAGAAGTGAGAAGTTATCCATGAAGAGTGGCAGCAACAACTTTTAGAACTATTTTATTTTAGCATAAAATATTGCTTTACATTAAAACAAATTTTGCTGCAATCAGCCTTGATAAAACATTTTAGAGCTGTTAAGTACCCTTAGAGGTTGTGTAATGTATGAAAATCTCGTTTTTCAAAACTGACACATTTAATTCAGTGCTAGTTTGTAGTGGAGCTAGAACTTACGGTTCCTTCCAGCCCAAGAACATTCAGTTATTTACTTTATGTCTAATTGACCTAAGTTGCCTGATTACCTGTAATCATCTGTGACGTTGTAAAGTCTCATGATATTGTTTTAGGAATATCTACTCTTCACTTAAGTTATCAATTTATTTTGGAGGAACAATGAACAGTGCTACGGTAGGAGCCTTTGCTTGCCCATCTTATGAAAGGGTACCTATCCGTGTACATTTGTAGCTTGTTCAACATCTACTAAGCTTCTACAATGTCAGAAACTGGACTTTATATTAGTTACATGAGAGGAACCATGAATTATGAAACCAGACGAACTCCAGATTGATTCAAAACCCAGTCTCCATTTTATCATGTGATTTTAGTTGCTTGGTTCAAGGACAATCAAGGGTTGTTTTCACTAAGTATCTTCTCCAGTTGCTATGATTATTAATTTGTTTATGTAAATGGTGTATTTTAGTGCGTGGCACTTATTCGGTGATCAACATTAGGAAGCTATGAATCAAGAACTCAGCTTTGACCTGGAGCTCTCGATCTGGTAGCAGGATACATATGTTCGAAAACACCACCACAGGCTGGGCGCGGTGGCTCACGCCTGTAATCCCAGCACTTTAAGAGGCCGAGGCAGGCAGGTTACTTGAGGTCAGGAGTTCAACACCAGCATGGTCAAAATGGTGAAGCCCCGTCTTTACCAAAAATACAACAATTAGTGGGGTGTGGTGGTGGGGACCTGTAATCCCAGCTACTTGGGAGGCTGAGGAAGCAGAATCGCTTGCACCCGGGAGGCAGAGGTTATAGTGAGCCGAGAGCGCGCCATTGCACTCCAGCCTGGGCAACGGGAGCGAAACTCCATCTCAAAAGACAAAAAAAAAAAAAAAAAAAAAAAAAAAAAAAAAAAAAAAAAAAAACCCACCACCATCACCAATTTATAAAATATCCTCTGTCTATATAAAATAGGGGACATAGCCGGGCGCGGTAGCTCAAGCCTGTAATCCCAGCACTTTGGGAGGTCGAGAGATCGAGACCATCCTGGTCAATATGGTGAAACCCCGTCTCTACTAAACATGCAAAACATTAGCTGGGCATGGTGGCGCGTGCCTGTAATCCCAGCTACTCAGGAGGCTGAGGCAGGAGAATTGCCTGAACCCAGAAGGCGGAGGTTGCGGTGAGCCGAGATCGCGCCATTGCACTCCAGCCTGGGTAACAAGAGCGAAACTCCGTCTCAAAAAAAAAAAAAAAAAAAAAAAAAAAAAAAAAAAAGGGCAGGGGGCATAGAATAAGGAAAGCCCCAGAGAGGGGAGGCACACATCTGTCAACACGTCTGGACACTTCGGTGCATGGTGGTGGCGGGGGCAGAATGAAGCTAACGAAGCCCAAGTTTGAAGGGCCCGTTTTGGTGATGAACCCTTCCAAGGCCTTGAGAGGAGCCCCAGCAGCGCGTTCCAGGGGTCGTGTGCCTCTGCAAAACGTGCAAAAATAATTTTACATGATTTTTCTTTAAAAGGGCTCTCCAAATAGCAGAAGGTTCAGGCCTCACAAAACCTGCATTCGCCGTGGACAGTCCACTCGGGTAGAAGTAAAAGGAGAAAAATAGTTATGGAAGCGCTTTAAATCCTGGAACTCCTTGCGACACGCCTGACGACCCTATCAGGCCGAACAGAGTCCTCCGTGAACCTGCGGCTCGCACAGCGATGGTGGCCTCCGAGCTCCCCGGCTCCGGGCCGGTCCTGCGCCGCATCCGGCTCCTCCTCCACCAGTAGGGCGCGGGTGCGTCGCTGGGGGGTCCTCGTGCTCGGAGGAGGGTGGGGGGGGTCCTCGTGCTCGGAGGAGGGTGGGAGGCCAAGACCCCCAGGTCGCAGGGCAGGCAGCCGAGCCCACGGCGCCGAGGTATCTTTTCCGTCCGGGCCACCGTCGCGGGGGGGGGGGGGGGGGTTCCCCGACAGCCGCTTCTGCGCATGCTCGGGAGAACGGGCAGGGTTCCCACTCGGGGCGGGAAGACGGAGAACAGGTTATGCGGGAGCCGGCGGGGGCATTTGCCGGCGACACCCGAGCGGGGGCCGGAAGTGGGGCCGCTGAGCGACGCGCCGCAGGAGCTCCGGGCTAGACCGTGGCGACGGCCGCGGCCTCTGGGCCGGAGGAGGACGATGAGGAGCGACGGAAGCGACGCGGGAGCAGGCTGCTGCTGCGCGGCGCCCGGTTTCGTGCCCGCGGCCGGCTGCGCAGTCTGTCCGCGAGTCTGAGTAAGTGCGGCCCGGGACGCCGATCCCGCGGGGCCCGAGCGCCGAGCCGCGCCTTCCGGGAGGGTCCTCGGGGCCGGCGCGAAACCCTGCGGGGCGGCGGGTGGGCAGAGCCGCGGGGCCCGCGCGGCGTCCCGGGCCGGGGGGTGGTGGGGGGACCCCCGGGGCGCCGCGCCCGCCCTGGCTGCGGCCCGGCCGGCCGCCCCCGCGCCGCTCACCCCTCACCCGCTGCAGCGAACCCGAGCCACGTTCCTGTTTTGGAAACTAAGCTGCGCCCATTGCCGGAGGCTCGCCTGGTGTCGTTTTGTCATTGGAGCCTGAAACGTCTCTTCGTGTTCGGTGTCGATTGTGTCTCCAGTAATGTGTCCAAACCCACGATCCTTAAAATCCAATCCTCCTCTCCCCGACCCTCCCACACAGACCTGCAAAATAAAATGGAAAAATCCTAGCGACTAGGTCGGAGGGAGGAAGACTCCCCCCTAATCACGCCATTAACAGGTTTAGACCTGTGAAGACCCTGGCAGAAAGTTCTGGGGTCTTCAAGAAACAGCAAAAAAGCACCCATACAATCGAAGTCAATTTTGCTGTGGAATTTAGTCAACATTTAAGTAAAATGCATTGCTAGTGTTTACTAGCCCAAGGTATCAAAACTACAAAAATGTCCATCCCCATTTAACAAATGTTTACTATGTAATAGTAACTGTATAGGAAGAGATGCATATATTGGCTTTGAGTGTTGATGTTTGATTTTCACTGATCTCTTTTGAGGGGATAGGGGTGGTGGATCAGTTCTTCTCTTCATGCTTAGGGCAATCACTCATCTTTGACTAAAATTTTGTTTTACTGTGTAAGATTTTGTGATTGCTCATTTAGTGTTAATGTCATGCTATCCTAAGACCACAGCTGCCCAATTAAATAATTGTTATTAGGTGCTCACTATGCATCAGGCTTCATACTGAAAATGTAGAGTTGAACCGGATGGAGTCTCTGTTATCAAGGGACTCACAGCCTGTGTAAGCAAGTTAATTACGGTGCAATTGTAAGTTCTGCCACCTAAGTTTGCGTAAACTACAGAATATGGAATGGATGGCAGTAGGGAGTGGGGGTCCAAGGCAAGCTTTCTGGAGGATCTGCTATCTGACCTTGGTTTCAACAGACAAATAGGGCATTGCTCTGATTATTTCCTGTGTTGAGATGTGGTAGCCTCTAGGGAATCATATCCATTATTTAATCCAGGACTAGTCGGACTTCTAGTTGTACCTAATCTCACATATTCTGCTATAGTAGATAATAAAGTAATGTAAATTTTGTCTCATAGAAGTAGCTGCACTTATTAACACGACTATTGCATTTTATCGCAACAGTATTTCAATTTACTCTTTTATCTTCCTCCTACATATGAGGAAATATATATTCAGAGAGACTAAGTGAGTTGGCAAAAGCTACCTATCTATTAACAGACCATGCTTGAGAACAGTCTCCTTTCCATTGCACCACACTGCCTCCCATTGATAGTTAGCTTGGAATGATGAAAGCAAGCCAGGTACCTACAGGTAGCTCTTGGCACACTGCCGTCCTCTCGGGCACATCGATGGCCTCTTGGCATGTGAATAGTAGGGTTTACTAACCATGTTGCCCTGGGCTAACTATGTAACTTAGTGATAGGTACAGGAAACTGTTGGATTTAACATTTTCCCATGATTTATTTCTGTTTCTCTGTTTCCTTTAACATATTACTCAGATTCTGAAATCTTTCTATTTAGTTGCTGCAGGAAAATCTTAAGACCTTTAAATAGCCTCTTTTTGTGTAGACTGAAAAAACGCTCAAGTTCTAATTAAGATTTTTTTCCCTCAAATGACAGATTTCATAATACATTATGACATTTTATGTTACTGTTTCACATGGTGTTAACTCCTGCTACAGTACATTCTGCTGAAATCCCTTGTAAAGATGTAGTATTTCGAATTCATGGACTATATGCATTTATGAGCTAGTCTGAGAATCTGGCCACTTCTAGTAAGGCTTCTAGTTGGACTTACTTTCACATACTCAGTGTTGTATAACATCGGTTTTATACAAAACAAAAATGCTAAGTTACATCCATCTAGTTTATAGGTAAAGTTTTGGAACATTGCCCATTTATAAATTGGGAACGTTTTGTGAATTTCATTATCACTCTAACATCACTACAGTTTTAGGCTTGTGGATTTTTTAAAAGACATTTTAGATATTTATAATCTCAGAAAAAATTGTGGTTGGCTTCCATAGTAACAATAATCTCTCATTTTACTTCTGCCAGAATTGACTTAATTTGCCAAGACTTTTAAGCACAAAAAAGCTACTCAGTTGCTGCCTGGTATAATTTTTGAGCTGTCTTCTCATGCAGATTCAAATCCTAGTTAAAAATGCTCCCTGAACTATCCAGTTATTATTCCAGCATCTCCATAGGCAGTTACTGTTCATTTGTCCCATAGGACTATTAATACACACTTTTTCATTATTGATGGCATGTGGGTAACCATTAGGGAAATAGATAATTCATTCTGTGGTGTCTCCAACACCTTGATAGCAGCTATTTGTGTTTCCATTTCAGCCGTGCAACTGGCATGGTTTCCTGACTTCCCAGTTCTTAACCGAAAAGGAGAGAGATTGATGTAAGAATACTGAATCTGAGTTCCACATTACACATGTGATTGGAAGCTGTGATTCACCCAGAGTAATTAATGAGCACTGTGGGGTGTGGAGTCCTTCTTCTCCTCCACTGGGTTGTGGATGTTGGCAATGACACATGAACTTGCTTTCCACTCCTGACAGTCTTCACTTGAACCTTCACATTGTTCCTTCACTTGTAGGCATCTTTTTTTAAGTGTAGGAACAGTTTTTATTTTTAAACAAGCTGTTACCAAAATTATCAATTTAGGATGAACTTAAGATCTTTAAAGAAATAATAGTGCATTTATGACTTAGGACTTTGTAATTGTATTTAGAATTGTTAGCCTTTTGCCAAATTGTTTTTGGGAAATTCACCTATAATAGCGCACTTCTTTTGTATTTCTAAAAGACCATTTGCTAGTGGCAGAATCTGTAACTCAGATGTGCAATATGCAATACAATGTACACTTTTTTTTATTTTTTGAGACACAGTTTCGCTGTGTCGCCCAGGCTGGAGTGCAGTGGCATGATCTCAGCTCGCTGCAACCTCGACTCCTGAGTTCCAATGATTCTCATACCTCAGCCTTCCTAGAAGCTGGGATCACAGGTACGTGCCACCACACCCAGCTAGTTTTTTGTATTTTTTATAGAGATGGTGTTCTACCATAATGCCCAGGCTAGTCTCAAACTCCTGAGCTCAGGCAATCTGCTCTCCTTGGCTTCCCAAAGTGCTAGGATTATAGACGTGAGCCACCATGCATGGCCCACTGTACATTTTTGTAATTAAAAATAATTAGAATAACTAGAATTTAATTTGTAGGGCAGTTCTGACCTTCATGAAAACATATTTTTTATGATAAAGTATTATTTATTATATAATAGTTTTGTCTAGTTGATTCTCCTACTAACCTTATGGCAATAATTAAAATGTATTTACTCCTGTAATTTGAGTTTCAGTTCTTGATATATTTAAGTTTTTATTTATTTTTAGTTTTTGGAGAAAATATTACTGGGTAAAAAACCTTAAATATATTTATATATGTTATAATGTAGAAAGGATTTAAATAAATGTAATATTCTTAATTTGAAGAAGGCAAGTCTTTGGGGAATAAGGCAATACAATTATATGGTTAAATAGTATGGAACAGTGGTTCTCAAACGTTTTGGTGTCAGACCCCTTTACATTTTAGAAATGTAAAGAGCCAAAGATTTTTTTGTGTGTGTATGTGGATTATATAGATATTTATTGGGTTAGAAATTAAAACTGGAAGTTTATAAAGTGTATAAGTTAAAACTGGAAGTTTTAATTTTAAGATAGTAGTAATAGGTTAATTACATATCACTTAAACAACATTTTATATAAAACAATTGTAATTACAACAAATAGATGTATGGCATTATTTTATATTTTTGTAAGTATCTTTAATGTCTGCCTGATAGAAGGCAGGCAGATTATTGGGTTCTTTTCGTGAAATATGAAGAAAGTCAGGCTCACACAAATGTGTAGTTGTAAAGGGAGGAGTATTATAATAGAGAATTGTGAACACTCTTTGGTCTACTCCATCGCTCAACAGGTGGCACTTCCTTAAAGGTCAGTTACATCGTGCCATCTGAAACCTGCATCAGAAAATCTTTTGTCTCTGTTAACATCAAAATCTGTTGGTTTATAGTGAAGTTTTACTCATGTCTGCTTGATTTTTGTGACACCATTCGTTGGTCATTCGGAATATATTGGTTTATTGAGTTAATGCAGATTCTTCCAAATGGTAACACATTTAATATTAATAGATTACCACAGTTCCATCAAAAAGTCTCTTAAGGTATCGAGGAGCTATTGGCAACCTCATTCATTTTCCAGAAAATAATCTGCCAGACCTCTAAGTCTGAACAACCGTAGTTGTCAGTTGTCTTTTAAAATAAAAATGTCTGAACAAAGCAGCTAGTTCAGCTCACAATTCAAATGTATTTCAATACACAGCACAAAGTGCTTTATGTGTGCTTCCAATTTTGTCACACATTTGTCACACAATGTGTTAAAAAGATGTGTACTTGTTGAGATATAATTTTTACTGCTACTACTATGACATTCGTAAGTAAAACCGGATTATTCCCTCATTTACTGTGAGTTGATGGTAGTGACTCCAACACGTGAGGCCACTACCTTGATTCTTGTAAAGGCACCAGCATTTAGGTGCTTATTGCTTATAAGGGTGTAAAGGCACCCAATTGCTTATGCATCATTAGTGCAAATGTCAAACAGTGGAAACGGTAAGTGACATTTTAGTATTATTATGACCATAATATTGATCTCGTGGACCCCATTAGAGGGTCTTGGGGATCCTCAGGTTTC